ACGAGCACCAGTACATACCAGGGCATGGGCCTCGCTTCACTACTCACCAAATGTGCAATATGAGAATGAATCTTCAGGCAGAACATGGAAAGATATACCACCATATTTTTTGTCTTTTATGCATGTGGTGAGTAGTGGAGTGCCTCACTCCACAACTCACGAAATGTCCAAAATGAGAATGAATCTTCAGGCCGGACATGGAAAGATCACCGTATTTCGTCTTTTGTGCATGTGGTGAGTAGTGGAGCTAGGCCCAGTACATAAGGCCCTATTTTTCTATTTATGTGTGCCATCGCCTTGCGCAGGGGTCATGCTATCGCTCCAATTTTAATGGAGGTCCCGAAGGACCAGGACCCAACAATTTACAACGACTCAGGGATAAGTACCAGGACCCAACGATTCACAACGACTCAGGCAGGACCCAACAATTTACAAAGACTCAGGGCATACTAACACTACAACTTTTTTTCTTCTAAGCTCTGGACCCTGCTGCAGTCACGTTCATCCAGCTCTGCCCATGATTGCGGCAAATACATCAAGGAAAGTGCTTGTGTGAGTATCCCCTCACGGGATGTGATTTATTTATTTTTTTGGGTGACCGCGTCTGTGTATTTTTTATTTTTTTTGTTGGCGGGACCGTGCATATTAGCACTTTCAGGCCACATAATACCGTGGACCCCGCATAGTACCATAACCGTGCCAAGGGCAGGTTGACACTGGGACGGGGTGTGGCCACGGAGGGTCCACGTGTTCCTTATAAAAGGAATCAGGAGCTCCTGTCCTGTGCTCCTGTGCAGCAGGTCGCCCCTCATTAGCCTGGGCCTCCACGGCGGGTAGCAGATGGAGTACTGCCAGTAAACGAATCACTGCATGAGAGGAGAAAAGACGCAGACCTTGACAGCGCAGATCATGGCCTCATTCGGGGGGAATCTAGTGTTGATATCAGGTGATTTATTGTATAAAACACACACATAGTGGTGTAGCTAGCTCTTTGCCCTGGTAGATTGATCGAGCAGGATCAGACTCGTACTTGCCAACAACTTTTCTGTGGTTTTCCAGAATACATTAATCGTTTATGTTTGCTGGCGTACAGTCTTGTTACAGACCTTTTGTTGTTCCTTGTGGTCTACGGCCTCGTTATGACTAAGAAAGTCAAAACAGGAAAAGGCACTATTCGTCAATGTGAGGTTTTGTTTAGCCATGTGGTCCTCACGAGGAGGCTCAGGTAGTTTTTGCTATGGGCGTTTTGGAGCATGTGGAAAAGGTGGTCTCCAGGGTGCATCAAGCAGTGGCACTGCTGGTGTTGTGGAAGGGTCTTGTCATGTTATGCCTCAGTCGTGGGGTACAACTTTCTTCTTCGTCTTCTTCGACTGCTTCTCTGCTTCTGCTTCTGCTTCTGCTTCTGCTTCTGTTTAGCCATGTGGTCCTCACGAGGAGGCTCAGGTAGTTTTTGCTACGGGCGTTTTGGAGCATTTGGAAATGGTGGTCTCCAGGGTGCATCAAGCAGTGGCACTGCTGGTGTCGTGGAAGGGTCTTGTCATGTTATGCCTCAGTCGTGGGGTACAACTTTCTTCTTCGTCTTCTTCGACTGCTGCTATGCTTCTGCTTCTGCTTCTGCTTCTGCTTCTGCTTCTGCTTCTGCTTCTGCTTCTCTGTCGATGATGATGAGAGAAAAACCAGGACCGTACGGGCCTGGCTCTGTTCTATTCTGAGGGGCATCAGTCCGGTTCGTTTTCCCCAGGCACCCCCCTCTGAAAAAAAAGTAAAAATCTAGGCTGGTCGCCGGGCCGCCCGGGGAGGGGGCCGGGCCGCCTGGCCCGTTGTCCCGCCCGGTTGCCCACCGGGTGGTCCCAGCGCAAAATGCCTGGGGGGGTCTCGAGAGGCCGAATCGGTCCAGGCCACCCCCCCGAGGCCGGTAGCGCTTGTTTCTTGGGAAAAGAAAGTAGGCCGCGCCAAGGCCTTTTTTTCGGCGATCGAATTTAGTCGCCGATCTGCAGAGATCGGTGGCTAGGATTGATCATTGCGACGGGGTGCCATTCACAAAATCTAACACTCACGAATGGCAGCCCCCGCCAGCATTCGAACTTTCGAATGCTGGCGGGGGCTGCCATTCTCACGTGGCAAGGTCGTTATTGCCGCGGCCACTACCCCGCAGCACCCCTATGCGCACCATAGCCTTGCAAACTCCGCCGCCACATTGCCATGGGCCGCATCTTCTTCTTCTTCTTCTTCTTCTTCTTCTTCTTCTTCTTCTTCTTCTTCTTCCTTCTTTCTTCTTCTTCTTTCTTCTTTCTTCTCCTTCTTTCTTCTTTCTTCTTCTTCTTCTTCTTCGCCTGTATTAAGGGTCTTTGTTGTTCTTCTTCTTCTTCTTCGTTGCACTTAGGATCGCCTGTATTAAGGGTCTTTCTTCTTCTTCTTCTTCTTCTTCTTCTTCTTCTTCTTCTTCTTCTTCTTCTTCTTCTTCTTCTTCTTCTTCCTCCTCCTCTTCTTCTTCTTCTTCTTCCTCCTCTTCTTCTTCTTCTTCTTCTTCTTCTTCTTCTTCTTCTTCTTCTTCCTCTTCGTTGCACTTAGGATCGCCTGTATTAAGGGTCTTTGTTTTACATGATCAGTATGATTCTCCTGCTCTTCTTCCTCTTCTCCCTCTTCTTCCTCTTCCTCTTCCTCTTCTTCTTCTTCTTCTTCCTCTTCTCCTCCTTTCTTCTTCTCCTCCTCCTCCTTTTTGTTGCGTCCCTTTCTCGACTCCTGCCTGCCATCGCAGAGGTGGGCTTTTTTTCCCCCTCTCACTCGTGACTCAACCCGCCCAATTTTGTTTTTGTGCCACCCACCCGACCCAAAAATTTTAATTTCCACCTCAAGACGACCCCGCCCGCCCAAAATATTTTTTAAAATTTCAGCCCCATGACCGACCCGCCCGCCACCCGAAAAGGTCCTCACCCGGACCCAACCGCACCCGTGAGAACATCATTACCCGCCTGCACCCAAGACCTCTTTTTTTGCCGTCCGCACCCGCTTGTGCCGATGCAGCTCTGCCCACGACGACTCCACTGGAGGCTATGGGTCAGGTGACCCAGGCCAATGCTTCACCCACCTGCCACCCACCCGACGGGTGACCCAGAGCAACTATTGACCCGCCCATAACCCAGAAATGCCCACTAGCTGCACATGCCCGTCACCCACCCAAGGAGGCATAGGTAGACCCAAGCCCAACCCAATCACCTTGTGGGCTGGGTGGGGCAGGTGGGTGCGGCTGTGGGCACCCAGTGCCCACCTCTGCGCCATCCTCCACGAACCGTCTACTTCTTCTTCTTCTTCTTCCTCTTCTTGTCTTCTTCTTCTTCTTCCTCTTCTCGTCTTCTTCTTCTTCTTGCCCGCCGTTTGATACCCCCCTTCCGCCCATCTTCCACCACCCTTCTTAGCGGGCAGACCTCCCCGGGCCCGACCGGCTGGACTCCGCCCGGCCGGGCGTCGGCCCAGACTAGGTTAAAATTCCTTGGCTGGGACACAGTCTGGATGTTTCAGACCGTATTATGCACTCAAACATCTGGTCCCGTTGGGTGATATCAGGATCCAAATGCCCCTCCGGTAACCATGGTTTGTAGGCAATGTTGACAGTTCGACAGTGCCCACGCCCGCACACTCTTGGTGCTATGCTTTACGTGCTCCCTGTGGTTCAGCTGACATGTATACCTGCATTTGCTTCAAGATTGGAGACAGACCTCCCTTATTGAATGTTCTGCAATTGCTGTGGTCATTGTGTTAACAGTTCAAGGGTGATATTGGACCAGTATCTTGCCAAGGCAGTGCAATTGGTGCAAGAACGGGAAGTCTTGGATGTAGGACAGCCTGCCACTGGAGCTGGCCAAAATGGATTATGTCTGTGCCGAGGCCATTTTCGGCTTGCTCGTTATGCTGATGCTTTGTATCGTCAGACTGAATCCAGACTCAATTCCAGTGAATATTTGGCTGCACTCAATCTCAGAAATCACAAGGCAAGTTACCTAGCATGCTTCGCCCTCTTTGGCATTTCTCTTTCGCTTGAAAGAAGAGTTCAAAACTGATCACGCTTGTCTGGAAATTATCTGGAAATACGGAAGCGGTACTTGGTACTTGGATATGGAAATGTTGGCTTGACTTGGATAATGAAGGGTTGGCTTGACTTGGATATGGAAATATGGACTACTCGAGTGGCTTGATGATGTTTCAAGTGGCTCATTCTATAGCCAGGAATAAAGGGTGTATAGCTTGGATTGTGCCGATGGGACTGACCCATATTTTACTATTAAACTAGCATTGATGGTTGATTGGAATTGTTCGAACCTGGTTATGGATAGCAGTGGCAGGCCTTGAGGTGAATTGAGGACTTACTTCCGATTTACCCTTTCTTTTGTGTTTTTTTTTGCTGTTTTTGTAGACACAGAAGAGCGCAAGTTGTGCAACACCTAAGGAACTGATCTTTTTCAAGTACCGTCGTACAGATTTTTCTTTCCGTCCAATTGGGCATGAGAAATAGCCTCAAAAAGGTGTCTGGGACATCAGTGTTGAACCCCACCAGGGGAAATGTCAAGGGGTTCAAGGCAGAATAGTTTAGTAGGTTAGAACAGTGGAATCATAATTCGCATGTCGGGGGTTCGAATCCCTCTTCTGCTAGTTGTCTATCTATGCTTTCTTCAAGCTTATAACGGAACCAATCGTCCTTATCGTTGTAACGGCATTACCCTCCTGTTAGTTTTTTTTTTGTTTTTTTTCCCCATCACACAACAAATCTCTGAAGGGGACACAGGTAACCATTGACCCAGCCGTGCGACCCCTTTTGTTTTTTTGAGTGAATTTTTCCCCCGTGTGCCGCACCATGCTGGTCCACTCGTGCGCCAAACATGTGGAATTTTCTGCATGGCGTCTGCCTGCATGTATGAAATAGATGCATCTTGAGGGTCACAAAATGTCCCCTTTTTCTTGGTTTTCTTTTTGCGCCGGGGCTTCCTGGGATCCTTCTCGGGGGTGCTCTTCCGGGCCAGGTGTGTGTACGGGCACGGCATTCGTTCCTGGGCACACAAAAGGTTAACCCAGACTGTAGGTGGCTATGACGAATTGATTCGCGCAACTGTGAAAGAAACGTCTGTCGAGACCTCCTTATCGTTTTGATTTGTGACTATCGAGAGATTGGTTGGCTGGCTTCTATCAGTGATCTGAAGAACACAGGCATCAGAAGGCAAAAGAGAACTTCCTAGAATCAGCCATGGATATCAATGATGTTTGGTTCACACAGTTTTTAACTTTTTCTGTCTGGGTCGCTGTTTTGCAGTCAGCTGAATTAGAGGCGCTCACTGAGCAAATCCGAAAAGCTGTAAAGGTCAGGAGGCTCTCTTTCTTCCCCTACACGTTCACTTAATGTGCCGAATGCTCACCAGCTGGAATTATTTGCAAAATATGCCCTCAAGCATGCTCTTCTATGGTTCGCAACGTATACTAGTGTATTGGCGGAGCAACTGGTAAAATTTTATGTGGAGGTGGAGCCCAAGGCCATGTACTTAGGACCTGATTTCCAGCAGGTGGTGCTGCAGACCGATAAATTGAATGCATTTTCGGAGGCACCAAAGTGTGCAAAATTTTGGGTGCACAGTCTTTGGCGATTTTTCACATGTTCTTGTCAGCCATTCTGAGAAAAGGGGTGGAGATTGAGTGCTGTCAAAGGACAAAAGATTGAAAAGAACTTAAAAAAGAATGGCAAAAAAAAATTCTGATGACAAAAGTATGCCTACGTTTTCTTCCTGCCACTACCAATGTGCCCAAGACTTGTTGGGTCGGTGCTTCAGACTAGGAAAAATGCACTGGTTTAATAACTGCGCTTTGGGAGCAGCGGTGGAATGCAGCAAAAGACAACGTCTTATAGACAAGGCACGTTCAGACAAAGCAATGTGCGGTACCAGTGCTTTTTCACGCCAAGAATGCGCCAATCTTCTTATTGCGAATTGATTACTGGAAAATAAATAATATGAATAAGCACATCAACCTTTGGCTACGAAGAAGGGAAAATGCAAAGTGAGGATTTAACCTGGAACAGTGTGGGCATGCATTTCAACAGCAAGTCAAAAAGCAATTCACATACTGTGACACTTCACTCTCTTACGCAGAGGCGAGTACATACCAGGGCTTGTCCCCGGATGAACCGGGGACCCCTGCCCCATATGCGGTCCTCCCGGTTGGACCAGCCGGTGGCCCGGGCCGGTTCCCTCCCGGTTGCCCCCAGCGCATTTTCGCTGGGGCCTGAATTTTTTTGTTTGCCGGCGCGTATGTGTTCCCGAGGCCTTGTGGGGGTGGGCCCTGCCCCGCGATTTCGAAACCGTTTTTTCAAGTCCAAAAAGTGGCCAATCTTGGCCGCCGATCGTCGCAGATCAGCAGCAAAGATCGGCCAGGACCCCATTTCTTAAGAAAAACGGGCAGAGGATATCTGTCGCTGCTCTTTGCAGATCAGCAGCAGAGAACCGCCACACATTCTTCTTAAGATGTGGGTCGGGTAAGCCCCTTCTCCAATTTCTCATCTTGTGGTCCAACGGACCAGTTACCGTTGGCAACATCTGATGCTCTTTCACCCTCAGCCACGAGGGGAACACTATGCTTGTGATGAGGCTCTGCTGAGATTATATCCTTCTGCAACGTCCCTGCCATCTGTGGAAACATCTGTGGAAAAAGTTATGGGTTCGGATTTTGGAATTGTGATGTCAGAGCCGTCTGAGGTGCAAGCCCACGAATGGACCTAAGCTATATTCTCCTTTCGATCTATCTCGAATGGACCTTGCTCCACTACGACAGACTGCCGGGAAAGATACTTCCGGACTGATAACTCACCTTACGTAGAAACCAACAAACAGAAAACGCTCTGCCTCACAAGCTGAAAGCTGGAACCATAACTCTTCTGCTGTCGAGTTATACTCTGGAAGAGCTATAACTTCTGGCAAGGACCTCATCTCATCATATCTGGTTCAGCTCGTGGGGTATCACTATCAAATGACCCACTCCACGAAGTGCTCCAGCCACGGGGGGGTCGGATAAGTGAACTTGCTTACTTGACCCCTCCCCGTGGAAGCCATAGTTGCCTGAATATGTCAATAATAACCCCCTGCCCCCCTCTGGAAGCCCCCTGAAAAATATTGCACCTTGAAAATTTTATTGCGGATTCCGACAGCTCTTGAAGAGTGCAGTCGGAATATTTGGGCACTTTTTTTTCAAAACCGGTTTCCCGATGCACCCCCCCTGGGCTGGTCTGGTTCCGGTTGGACCGGGGTAGCTCAACCGGCCGGTTGCCAGCCCAGCACTGGTACATATACCATTGGTTACCCTCTTCCACAGCGAACTGACTGAACGGTCAAGCCCACTTCATCTGTCTCCTCTCAGCCCCTCCATGGACAAGAAACCAAGTGAATAATGAGAGTTGCTAAGGATAGGTTCTGCGGCTTCTGCCTTAATCACTCTGATTATTCTGTCTTCATTGTGCTGAGCTAAATTCTAGTTCGATCTCACACATACTTGCAACTGCACGAGCCGCGCATTCGTGCGGAGTTCCGTGCGGAGTTCCATGCGGGGGGTGCCTGTGCGGAATCGTGCAGGTTTTTTATTTTTATTATTATTATTTTATCTTTCTTTGGGAGGGGGAACGGGGGGGGCGTATGACAGGAAGATGGGGATATGGCGAGGAGGATGACGAGGATAGCGAGGACGACGACGAGGAGTCGTCGAGATGGGGGAGGAGAAGAGATGGACGGAGGGAAAGGAGGAAGGGCAGGAGGAGGAAGGCAAGTGGGAGGAGGAGGAGACATGGGCGGCGAGGAAGGGGAGGACACGAGGAAGGGAAGGTGACAAGGAGGCATGGAAGATGAGGAAGTACGAGGAGGAGGAGGAGACAAGGAGGATGAGGGAGGGCACGAGGAGGAGGACGAACAGGAGGAGGAGGAGGAGGAGGAGGAGAAGGAGGAGGAGGAGACGAAAAGGAGAAGGGAGGAGGAGACATGGAGGATGAGGAAGGGGAGGAGGAGCAAGGTGAGGCAGTACTCCTGTAATTTTTTTTTTCATCTTGCTTATAATTTTGGCGGGGGGCCTCAAACGCACCGTTTCGACCCTGGTCTTTTTTTTTCTGAGGGGGGTGACGGTTCGTTCTCCGCACACGCCGTGCGCCGCACGGGATTGGTTGGGCGCGTGCTCTGCATGTAGGGAACCGCCCGCACGACGTGCGCTTGCAAGTATGATCTCACACCAATCTGAAACCATATTCAGAAGGCTTTTGTGTATCCGTCTTTCTTGTCTGACTTTTCCTCAATGGGAAGGACCATCTGTTTCCATTGGCATAGAATTTTCAGTTCCATGATGTCTTAATTCCATGCCTCTGGGGATTGTTTTTTTTTTTTTCCCTTTTTGATTGTAAGGCTGTGGCTGGACTCCTGTACTTCAGTGCCGCGCAGTAGGTTAAAGTCTCCTCGTGGGGTTCTGCCTTAAACCACCACTGGCCTCGAGCCTCTTTTCGCCGAGGCAGATTCCCCCTGCACGCCAAGCTTTGCTGAAGTGCCAGCACTGCAACACCAGCCATTGGGGTCTGGAAACCCTGAGCCTCCGAAGAACCGGGAATGTCACATTTTCAATGCTCAAAATGGCCTGGGATAAGGTAGTGGTGGTTTAACGGATTCAGAATTAGAAATCGGTTTTTCAGTCTCTTCCTTAAAAGTCAAATTTGTTAGATCCTTCCATGTTGCTTGCAGATGTTTGCATAAGTCGTTGGTATGTGGAAAGTGAAGGCATGAAAAAAAAAATCATCATAGCATTGCTTTTCTGGTGGAAGTGTGTGTGCTCACAGCTTCATGTAACCCCTGATGTTTTGCAGTTGGACGACAAAAGAGCGCTTCAGATGAAGGCGGCTGAGTTACAGAAGACGTTGATGTTGGATGATGTTGAGGACCGTCAACTAGTGGTAAGGCATTTTCTACACGGTTGGGGCTCGACCAAGGGCGGCCACTTTTGTGGCCAAAATGATGAGGGGTGGAGAAGTATGCTTGTCTCAGCCTTTTGACATCCCAATAATCCATTCGAGGACAGATAAGGCATGCAAATGTGCAGTACAAACATCATGGGTCCCCTTCTCTGTCCATCGTAACTCTCTTGCCCGATCTGCTTGTGTGCCTTTCTGATTAATGATTCAAAACTCAAGTTTCGGACAATGCCATTAATTTCAGCTCAAGAAGAAGTGGAATGAGACATACAAGAAGAAGAAGAAGAAGAAGAAGAAGAAGAAGAAGAGGAAAAGATCATAGTACTCGTACCAATGACATCTACCTCCTGAGCTTGCCACCTCATTATGTCCCTGAATTACTCCTCGCTATTGGACAATTAATAACGAAGTAATGAATGAATGGAGTTAACATCGGATGAATGTCCCTCATTCCCCTTGAGAAAGAACCTCTCTTCAGCTATCTTCCATCTCTCCTCTACGAGCCGGTGCAACTGCCTGTGGGCGTATGAGTACACCAGCAGGTTTTGAGAGCACTCTTTGAGGGATCTGACGTGGGATAGGCAGGGCACTGCAATGCGCTCCCAAGTTATGAGACTACTATGGTGGTGCCTGCCAAGTGTCTTGGAATCGGCCGGGTTGCATGTGGCAGCCCAAAGGAATTCGAGAGTGCTCTTGAACTGGTTTTCCCGACAGCTCTCAAATTTATTTTCGAGCTGGGGACTCCAAGGTATGCGTGGGGAAATAGGAACACTCTAAACTCCTTGATTCGGGAGTTGTGTGGCGAGCCCCATTAGGTGCAGGGAAACTCTGAAGAGAAACCGGGTCCAGGGAAAGCAAAATAGGCCTGACACTTTCATCTCTCTGCCGTGTGTAGGATGACTGTGAAGAGTTTCTGAAGACTGCTCTGCAGAGTTACAGAATGTGCTTAATCACGGGGGACAAGTACGACATTCGTGTGGTGAGTAAAAAAATAGAAAATGCTGTTCTCACAGTTGTCCCTGCAACATGTTTTGAATCTCACAACTTGCATACATGTCAATCATTCAGCATTACAGCAAGGTACAGTGCACTTTTACTTTTAATGTAAAGCTAAAACTATTCCAAATACATTGATGGTCATTATTTGTTATATAAATGAAAACACCTATTAGATAAAGCGATCTGAAAAAGATCATTGCATATCCAGGTGCAGTGGGATTTAAAGGATCTCGTCGTTCAACTACTTTGTTGTGGTTTCCTGCTGATAACCTACTTGTTCTTGTAATCTCATGGAAATCGTCATAGCACAAAAACAGATATGGTTTGGCATTCCCCTTTTTCCTTTATTGATTCTGTTTTTCATTTCTTGTTTAGCAGAAAGTTGGAAACGAGTCGTGCTCCTTTTGATTTACCAGAAGCGAAAGCTGAGTTAGTTGCAGGCTACCCAATCATGGTGACGGTGGACCCGGACACTGGACCAGTCCAGGCGTCCGGCCGGACCTGTGTCTGGACTGCTCCAGGCCGTCCGAATTGAAAGTTAAAAAGTAATAAAAACCCACTTTTTTATTTTTAAAAAAAAATCGTTTTTACTTTATTCCTTGGATTTGGCTACGAATTTCGAGATGGTCCTCAGCCAAAAGATTTTTGTATTGCAATGCTGCACAACATATCTTTTTTTCAGATTTTTTTGGTTTTTTTCAAGTCGGATTCTTTTTTAGGGTGGGGGTGGGGGGATGGATCCGGGCACTCTGGACCGGACACCAGATCCGGACATCAAGACCCAGACCGTCTGCACTGCGTTCCGGACATCCGGATCTTAAACATGCCCCCAGTTATAACCATAGTTTTTTATTCACCTAGGCTGGGCCGCCCCCCGGTCGGTTGGGCCCGGGGGGTCCGCCCGGCGAAACTGGGCGACGCAAAAACACAGCAAGGAATTTTTTTTTTTTTTTTTTTTGAAGGCGGGGTTGTGCTGCG